TCATAATTAGTCAATAGAAAGGGCATAATAGCGAATGTATCTTGGCAGACACGGCAAAATACTATATAACAATATTGAGGGACTAAACTCAATTTTGTGAGGGTTCTTGATACTAGCAAGTGCAAGCTAATGACAAGAGTTTCTCAAACCAAGTCAAATCTTCTCAACAAAAAACACATAGGAGTTCCTACCTTATATTTATCCGATTTAAGTACATGGCTATTGACCAGTTTCTCAACTAACTCAAGTGAGAATTATAAAAGGAACCAATTGTACCAACCTCTGGCCATCATGGTAGTAAGGAAAGAGTGTCCAATGACTAGCCAACAAGTATCTTTTAATACCCGAAGTCACATTCATGATAGAATCCAAGTCTAAGTTCGAGGGTGAAAGCCCAAAGCGATCGTCTCCCAAACCCTAGGGGGTTTGGTGAGCTCCAAAAGTATGGTAGAGGGAGGACTCCAATGAGGCTAAGAGATGTCCCAAGCTTTTTGACTCACCTCCAACAATGTCGATCGCATTGCATGAGAAAGCATCTATCATATAAATGGTTGATTCAACTGCCACCTTGGGGAAAATCTCTGTGAGCTTAGGAGGAAAGTGTGATGTGGAGCCCATCATAGCATAAGCCTTTTGGGTGTGTTGAGAAAGAGCTCTGCCATGGTTGTTGAGAAACGTGGTGCTATGGGTTCCATTGCTAATTTCTATTTTGCCTTCTGCGTTGTTGATGGTGCAATGAGCTGCAACTTGCCACGAGCGGCCAAGGATGATAGAGTCTTTCAAAGAGGATGTTCCAAGATGCTAGTAGTCAGCTACAAGGAAATCTACCTCAGAAATAACACCCTGCACTAAGATCTTGACACCACAACAAATGCCTACACGAAGAATAGTGTGGTTGGCGAAGGTCTTGAACATGATGGAGGAGCTCTCAGTGATCTGTAGCTGTGCTGAAAGGGCAGCTTTGAGCAAAATAATGTTGCTCCCAAAACCGAAATCAATCAAATCGTCCATCTTGCAAGAGGAAGTACCAATCTGCACCAGGACAAAGAATGGACCAGGATCTCCACCATGTCAATGATGTGCACCTCTTGAGGAGTCCTGTTGAGAGTGCACTCTGGTGTTCCTGACCGTGCAAACTCCTCTAAATGCTGACCAAAACTAGGGACAAGGCACAACATGTCTTGGAGCGAAAAGGTGACCAGAGTGTCAACCAACTGTTGAAGAACTAGCTCCAGAACAGGAATAGCTATTGGTGAGATCCCAAGAGGAGAAGAGAGTAGTGACTTGAAGGGGAGCTTACAAGCCACCCTTTATGTCACTAGATTTGGTGCCAATAGAGATTCACTCTCAACTGATGCTAGGGGATTTATGATAGGCTGAGCAATTGCCTTCTTCTTCGCTTGGGCTCGAGTGGCTATAGTTTGCTACTGCTGTCTATAGAGTTCTTCGGCTACCAAGATCATGTTGACTGATGAGGCTAGTGCCTTGCCTTTGCTTGATAAAGGGGCTGCCTCAATTGCTTGTTGCTCCAACTGCTCTTGTTATGTCTCTGGACCATGAGATGATGTGGAATTGTCAGCAAAGGGATGTTGCTGGACACATTGAGAAGGTGGAGGCCAAAGCTCTAGGTGAAGCTTGAAGCAATGCTGTGTGTTATGTTATTTGTCTCATAGTGAGTGCACCAATGGGACTTGAATCGGTGTTCCTAAGCTGCAGCAACCTCTTTCCTGGACACCACCAGCTCCTGGAGTAGCTTGTCATGGTGTGATTGTTGCTAAAGAATGATCTCCTTTAGTTTCTGCATCTCATTGGCAAAGTTCTCGATAGCCGGAGGTGTATGTTCAATAGCAATGGATGGGCAAACAGTTGCACAAGGTGACTTTGATGGGGTGATGGCTTGGTCAAAATCAACTCTAGCAATCCCTAGGTTGACAAAAAGCTCTTTTTCCAACTTTGTAGTGAACAAAAATGCCTCATGGCAAGACCCGAATGTCTTCTTAAAAAGTTTCTACTGCAAGTTCCCACATAGACTTGCTATGAATGCAATGATCCTCTGCTGCTCATCTTGAACCACTCTACGATCCCAACACTACTTCCAATATACTTGAAACTGGGTGATGTAGTCAAGAACAGACTTGTGAGCACCCTGTCGGAATGAAAAGAGGTCAATAAGTAGCTGATTTACGGGTTTTTCTTCAATGAAACATTCTCTAAAAGAAGCAAGTGGTGTCTAGAAGTCTGTCTGGTCCTCTAGGAGAAGGAAATCTACCTAAGTTACTACTTTGCCTTTGAGAGACTACAAGAAGTCATGGCATATACAATTATCGTTGATCATGTTTATAGTGTAGTAGTAATCAAAACGACTAATATATGATGCTAGAGAGATTGTTCCACACCTGAGAAGGTTGGCAAATCACTCCCCTTCTGCAAAACATGGAGCTAGGGTCAAGCTAAAGGTGGCTGTGCCATAGCTTGTAGATCTAAATCACTGGAATTTGCCAAGGATGAAAAAGACTTAGCTCGACAAGGTGCTATGTCATACCTAGCCTACCTCTAGATGTTAGAAAGTTTACTCTGTACCTTAGAGCCTTGAGGTATAGTAAAAGGGTGCCAATTTGTCACATGTCTAATCTGTACCGGCATCAAATACCCTAAACACTACAAATGCCCAGTCAAGGCAATTGGATTGATAGGAGCAGGAAGACTATAGACTTCTTCAAAGCACAAGGAGAAGAGTCCTTAGGCAAAATAAATGGCCTAGAACCTTTTATTTACTCTATCCACAAATTGCTCAAAATTGCCAAAAATGCCCATGACAAAAAGAAATAAAGTTGAAAATGGAAGGAGATATATGCCTTAAGCATATATAACTGTTGACCCGTAGAGTAACCGCCGACCTCTTGCGGTAGTCAGTAACTGGTAACTAGTAACTACGAACTTGTAACTGGTAACTGGTAACCGGTAACCCCTTGCTCTCACTCCTACTCTTGTGCCTACTCCAACACCAACTCCTACTCGTGCGCCTGCTCCTGCACCTACTCCTACTCCTCTCTGAAGATTGCTTCTTTCCTAAGAAACTTTTAACAAAGTTTAGCCCAAAAGAGAAAAATGAGTGCTTTGATTTTGATCTTTCACCATTTTGACTGTAAGTAGGCTTGTTGGAAATAGTTTAGCCTCGTCTACCCTCAATTGCAAGAATTTGTGAAGAAGATGCCTCAATATTCCTTGAGATCGAAGAAAAGATAGCCCAGAACACCAACATTGTGGAAAAACATTTGTATGTCACCACTTTAGATCGATAACAAGGGACCATTAGTGTTCTTGGAAACCCTAGGACTAGGAGCACCTTGAGAAATAAACGGCATTCAAAACAAAGCATGGAGCAACATGAATTCTTGCTATAAAGATTCCCCTATATAGCCGAAAAAACAAAATCCTTTTGCATGCCATTAATTCACCCAAAACTAGTGCCAAGAATCACCACTACTTGTAGATCTAGGCCAAATCTACAAACCCAAATGCACTACTTTGAAAAATTTGGCCGAGAATCTAGGCAAGGAAGTGAAAACCCCAAAGTGTTCACCAAACTAAGCCAAGAAACATTGTATTCTTCAAATACTACACAGCTTGATTAGCACTATAACTTGCCGAAAAGAAGAGCTCAAAACATACTTGCCATTTTAACATTAATATTTTCAATATCACCTGTCTTTGTTCTGCATCTGACTTGGGTCTAAACCCAAGTTCCATACCTTGCTAGTTGGTGGAGTACCATATCTTTGTGTTAGGCCACCGGTATACTAAAATAACACTAAATTCCATTTGGCTCCATTTTGCATGTTGGTTTTGGCATTGGGATGGTGGATACTCTAGGATTATTCTGAGTTGTTCCATGCTTTTATCCCTTTGCTCCTTGGGTTATACACTCATGAGTCACTCTATGCTCTAGTTCCTTCACTCCTTGGCTTTATGCTTGGGAGTTTGGCTCCATTCCTTCATAAATGAACATGTGGTAATGCGAAAAACCATAAGCTATCAAATAGCATAACTAACTATCATAGAAGATCATTAATCATCTCATAAATAAAGAGATGCATAATCATCGTTGAAGAAGGAATCTACTATCCCGAAGAATAACAAATCATTCTATATCAACAATAATCAAAAAAAATCTTTGACAAGGATAATTAACTATCCTAGATGATAGTCAATTATCTCTAATGATTGCTAGATGTAAAAACCAACTTCAATATCGAAGCTAAAAAGCCAAAATGCCTTCCCCAATAACTTTAAGCAAATGGACCACAAGCATAAAAACTCAAAAAATTAAAAGCTAAAAGAAGTCATAGCCAAGTCTTACTTAATAATGATCATAAATCTTGCCTAATAATGATCACAAGTCTTGTATGAACTAACTTTAATACTAAAGAAGAAATCATGGTATAACCAACAATATCATCCTCAACACATCCATAAACTAAACTTCCTAATGCAAAGCTAATAAAGAGTATATCTGCATCAATTTAAAAGCCAAACATAACAAAGTTATGCTCAACAAGTGATTATCAAACTGATCCTCCATAAATCCATCTTCTATAGTAAGACGTAACTCACTTCATAACAAGCACAAGAAAAATCATTAATGATCGATTATCCCAATTCAAATCTAACAAAGAATCAACATCTTTAATATCAATCACAACTTTTCATCTCGTAAAGTTAGTATAGTCCATGACTAAATCACTTTTCAAGGAAAAGCCAAAGCTCAATATCTACTGAGCAATCTCGTTTAAAACACAACTAACTCAAATTTGCCACTTAGCTTGTTTGAATACTAATATAATTGCTAACTAGCAAATGCACAAATGCTAATAACACAAAGCAACCAAATCATTAATACTATCTCCATTGAGACTAATGACACTCAATATCAATTCTACAAAGAGACATCTCATCCCACTTGAATCTCAATATTAATAATGTTAACAACAAGGCATCATAATAATGCCATCAACACCAGAATAAAACTAAAAGAAAGCAAGAATGAATCACCACTCAAAACTCTTTAGCAACCAAGCTAACCAAAGTTGAAAATACTTTATTTAATATCCAAGACTAATTCTTCAACAAAACTTAATTACAGATAACACATCAGCAAAGAGTAAATCACCATATCCAAGACTCCATGAAATCCAACACCACAAACTAAATGTAAATAAATGTAATTGACAAAGGAATCGACATTCCAACATGGAAAAACCATGTAAGCCATGACATGATCCTCCACAACACCATCCAATAAAGCAAGTCTACCGCTACTAAATCAGCATTGAGCAAAACAAGTCTCAATAGTCCTTGACGAAGTCTACAAGCAATCACTAGTTGCAAAATAACTAACAATCAATCTTTCAACTTACCCTTCACAAGACCCAAACACAAACTCAAGTCATCAAGTTATATACTTGTCTAACAAGAACATAATACCCCAAATACAAGATAAGGTTCATGGACAAGCACGAACTAAATAACTACTCAAATCTAGTTCAACCACAATAAACTCACCAATATGTTTAACCAATAGCTCTAAGCATGCCTTGAAGAGGCTAACTATGCATAAT